CCAATAAATAAACCAAAAAAAAAAAAAACTTAAAAGACCCCCCCAAGGGGAAAAAAATTAAAAAAAAAAAAAAAAAAAAAAAAAAAAAAACATAAAAAAAAATACGAGTTGCTACTGGAAAAGCTACTGATTTAATTTTAGAACTAAAGCGGTAATTTCAGAGGTTTAAGGGGTTTTCTATTTGCTGTGGATAAAGCTGTGGCTTTAGTTAGATCTCTGGTAAACTCATTACAAAACCTCTAATCTCCAATTCCACTAAGTAAACGTATGAAAAGAAAAATCTTGAAATAACATTTAAACCTCTTAAACCTTTTTTTTTCACATTGTAGCACTTTACGTACAAACCTCAATGTATTTTTTTTTTATCTTTTTTAGATTATTCTTTGTAAAATAGCCCAAGTGTAGTCAGATTGAATAGAGAGACTGCAGATGGAAATTAGATTGAAGAGTTAAGGTCTGATACAAAGCAAAAATATTTTTCCCATTGATGCTCTTATATATGGCTTCTTTCAAATAATCTGAAGTTTTTTGCAGACTAGCTGGTTGTCTTCCATAATTGTCCTGTATTTCTATCCATCTGCCCACTAGTTCTTCCCAGCTTTTCTTTCCTTGCTGAATAAAAGCATCCCATAGCATTATGCTGCCACCACCATGTTTCACATAGCATGCACTGCACTCAGCACACCACTCGGTTTTCTCAGAGCTTTGATGTAGGACAAAAAGCTTAGCTTCAGAATTATCTGATCAGGACTTCATCTCGCATGTTTGCCAAGTTCTCTAAATATTCCTTTGGAAACTGGAAACGGGTCCAATAATCCTTTTTCTTGCTCTTTCAGATAAAATAAAACTAAAAAATACATAGCATGATAAAATTTTACATTTTAGTGCTTTTGAAAGGAAATGTGTGTGTGTGTGTGTGTGTGTGTGTGTGTGTGCGTGTGCGTGCGTAAAACTTACATTTCAGTCAAACCCCAAGTTTAATTTTGTTATTTAATAGCTTGTTACATCCTGGCAGAGTTCAGTCAGCCATGATTCCTACCTCTCTTTGCTCAGAGCCATGCGTGGGGGATCCAGGTTGGGATTCTCCATGGACTCCATTTGCGGGCAGCGCAGGAAGTAGTAAAGGGTGTGGAGGGCGTCAGGCGACCAGGACACAGGCTGCTGGGCACGGGCGTGACGGGCAGGGCTCTGTCCTGGACGCATTGAGCTGAGACGCTGCATGTGGTGCATGGCACGGGACACCAAGTCACCTGGAACAGAGCAAATATAACGACACTGAGCATCAGCTAAAACATTTGATCTAATTTCTCAATTCCCAGGAGATGGATGTGCAAAACTGTTGAGTAGTAGATAAAAAAAAACATATAATTGGAGTTATGTGTTTAGACTCTGTGGTCTTCCAGTCAGACCGGATTTCCTCCTTTCCTCAACAACTTTCCTCCATGTCTCAAATGAACTCTGCCATTAGTAGCGTCATTATCAGTAAGCAAAGCCAGACAGCCAGTCTAAAACAGTAATTCATCTTTAATCACCGAGGGGGTTAATGGGAGTACAGACAGCTGATCACTGGCTCTAATGAACTGTTCAACTGTTTACTGCAAGAACAATTAGATCACTGGAGTCAGCATATAGATCTCAGTTTCGGTCATAAAAAACAGATTTGTTATATAAAATCTACAATCTTATCTCAACTAGTCTTTATAAAAACATTTAAGAAAAAAAAGCTCCACTATATAAACTTAGTGGGGAACTGTCAGCATTTAGGAAAGGCTTGCTTAGATAACAGAAGGGGGAAAAAAACCCCAAAACAATCAGAAAAAAAAGAACAGGAAAATGTGATAAACCTTCTAGATACTGTTGGGAGACCACAGCCACTGTAAGAAAAACACTAATCACACATCAGCATTACACAGGTTAAACTTGGGACAGAGTTGTATTCATTTAAAATTATTAGGCACATTTTCAAAGGCATAACAAAGCTCTGTCAAGTTTAGCTGTGCGAGTGTGTGTTAGTCTATAGAAGTTCTTCTGGGTTCCACCACGGGGGTAAGGCTGGGTTAGACTGACCAAAACAGACCCCATGTAAAGCTGAAGGGCCCCCTTTGTGCTAACCAGCACCAAATATACCTCCAGGAGGGCTCAGTGGAATTCCTGCACTACATTGAGAGCTTCTCTCTTAGTTTCCAGTCTACATTTTCCCCCTCAACCTAAACTTGGCTCCAGACGGACATGAAATGCCAATTCTTGAATTATAGATTTCACCCAAAGTCTTGTAATAACCACAGTTGTTTTTTTTTTTTTAATGCACATTGATATACATCATCTCTAGAATATTTTTGATGTATGCAGAATAATTGTATCTACTCTGCATACATCTGTTGTCTATGCAGAAATCCATCTCTACAGACGTTTCTCTGATTGGAGCCAAAGAGATCAGACAGGCAAAGTGCCTGCTGTATTTCTGTTGTATGTATGTGAATCAGTGGACATGTGTGTGTTTATGTTTTTTAGGCGTGAATATGTGTAGATGCCAGCCCTACCCAGATTTACCCCGTTTCACCCCACCAGAGAGAAGTGGCACAAAGAGGCCACTGAGCAGAAGTGAGAGAAAGAGCGTGTCTGTACTTTCTTAATGCCTCACTATAACGGCGGCAACGTATGAACGTAGCCTTGTGCTGCAGGAACAAATGACAGAGTGTTGGTTCATTTGGAGTAGGAAACTTATCCTTGACCAAAACTATCCTCCATTTCTTTTCCTCACTCCCTCCCCTAACAACATCAGTTTTCACCTTTCTACCTTTCAATCATTTCCCCGTAGAACCTTTACCCTCCATATAACTAAACCCTCTCCTATAAATCTTTTCTACTGCTTCAAGCTACACCCCCAAACATCATCATTTCCTCTCAATTATTAATAAACCATATTTCTGTTCTTTATCACAGCCAAATCCTTTGCAACCTACAGTTTACCCCCCTCCACCATCACTATGAGCGCTTAATTTGCTTAGGCCTTCATAATCTTTACTCACATGGAAATGGGCTACAAAGATTTTGTTTAAGATAGGTCAGATAAACAAGTATCTCATTGTATTGCTCTTTTTGAGTAAAAGTGCTTAAATAGGATTTATAAAATCTCAATAAAGGCGTCCAAAATAAACCATGACCCAAGAAGGACCAAATATGGGAACAGTTTATTTGGCAAGTTGGTCTCAGAGGAGAAACTCGAGCTTGATTCAAAAATATTTATGTAATACATTATGCCGTAGCAACAGTATTTGTAATGTTTTTCTTTTTTTTTACTTTTGATTTTTGATTTGCTTAAATTGATGCATTCTGAAAGTCAATTATGAACACCATAGTACAATAATTTAAGGCTGATAATTTGTAAAGCGTTTTAAGAATATATGTTTTTATTAAAGGAAATTTGTTCTTTTTTGTGTCGTTCCCTAAACAACTTCCAGAATTTTGTTTAACTTAAATGCTAACTGCAAAGTAAAAAAAAAAATCTGTAGAAAGTCTGACAGGTGTAAAAGTGATTATTTTTACTCACTGAGCTCTGAGATGCTGCCCACACAAGTGGCCAGAAGAGATTGTTCCAGTGTTCTCAGCTCCAGCTGGGCGTAAGCATCCTCTCTGCTGTCCACAGCCTGCTGGTTCTCTGTGTATGGACTGAAATGGGCTGGGAGTGACAAAACACCTACAGATGCAAAGACAAAAACGTTCATGTAATTTCATGTGATAGACCTCACAGAGAAGCAGATTATTTCCAAGTGGAAGGAAAAACAGTTTCAAAATTTAAACAGAAATCTGAAACTTATATTTAAACCATTTTACTTTGGTGCAATTAAATGTTCACAATAAGTAAAATATATAGATAAATGGTGTCCATCTTTAATGTTGGTAACATGACAAAATGCTGCATTTGCAATCTTGCTAACATGTGACCCACATAGCAAAGACAAGAGGAAAAAAACTAAAGGACGTGCTTTCTTTCATGTTCATGGTGCAAATATGAAATATGCATAGTAGCATTGAGGACAGAATGAAACAAATAGTTCTCTGAAAAGAATCCAATGCTACCATTTCTACAATATTTCACATTGTAGAGATAACACTGTACGCTGCATGTCTTTTTTTTTTAACCTACTCTTGTGCTTTCAAGACAAAATGGATGCGTGGCCAAAACAGGCTTGTCCAGCAGGTTAAATAAACCAGGAAAACATAATAAGCTTTATCCTGGTCAGTTGTGGCATTTCCTATTTGAATTGAACCCCTGAGGGTTCAGGAGCCCAACCCATCTTTCAACTTACTTTTTTAAGTAAACATTTCTACAGTAAACACCAGAACTATACTTAAAATAACTTTTTCTTAAAAGTAATATGTTGCAATCAGTCAGATCAGATTTGCCCTACGTGACCGCCTACTGTGAGTTTACACTCAGGCAAAGAGATAAGATCCTTTTTACATAACTTGAAGATTGGATCTTGTTCTTTCACTGCTGTAATTGTCTTCCTGATACAAGATAAAAGTAGCAACCAATGACAAGAAGACAGACTTCTATTTTTTTTTTTTTTGCCTCTTTGTATTCCTCTGCCTCCTTTTTGTTAGCTTTTCTGCACAGTGCGTGTATAAACCAGGCTGTGTTGTAATCTGAAGTAGATCAAACCGTTTAGTGTGCTTAATGCCATGGAGAACAAAATGAGGGGGGGTTAGAGCTGGGGATAATAAAGAGAAGAAGAAAAAAGGTTTCTGGTGTATTTATGATGCACAAAAAACAGAGCTGTATCATTTTTAACTTCTGCCATTGGATATTGTCCCTAAAATGATATTCCCATGTTTTTCTGGTCAATGGTATGATATTACTCCCCATAAAGGAGACATTGTTTCAAAACGCTGATGTTGAGAAAGTAAACAAGAAAACGATGTACCGTATACTTTTATAAAATCAACAGTAGCAGATTAGATGAGAAACTTCAAAAGTGATTAAATCAAAGTAACTCAATTACAATATCCTCTGCAGCACTGATCTGCTGTCAAAGACTCTTCAGTCTCATCTATTTTTGCATACATGCATTTTCATTGCAACCACCTGATTTCTATAATGTGCTAGTACCCGTTTAACCAGACTAAGTAGAAATCTCAAATTGGCTAAAGCTCAATCAGATTGGATTTATAGCATTTGACTGCATTTTTTTAAGCTTTTCCACCAATCCTCAATTGCATTTAGTCTTTGACTGGGCCATATTCAATTTGTTTTGATTCTACAGCATTCCCATTGTTGCTTTGGCTGCATGTTTAAGGCCACTTCAAGTGAAGCAGCTGAGAATGCCAACATGCAGTCAGCAGTGAACACACACACATTCCCTCTACTGGCATTCAGAACAAAAGGACTAAGAAATTTGAGGAAAATACTTAATACAAATCATCACTGATGCGGCACCAAAGCAAAACCTGTGCTAATGTAAATCCAACTCCAATTGATTCTTTTAAAACCTACGGGTAAATGTCAGTTTTTCCCACAGTTCCAACCCTCTAGTTACTTCACCACTGAACCCCAGTCTGCGTCATTTGGACCTTATTTTGGTCTGCAAGCCAACCCGGGCCTGTCCCCACCACCACTAATACTAGCAGCTCCTCCAATCTGCACATCATTTTTTGGCACTTCTGAGCATACGAGGAAGAGAAGGGAGTGAGTATTGGATCTGGGAGGTGGTGAGCATGTAGAGCTTTTTTGGAAATGGAATGAGTCATCCAACTAAGGGGGAACTTGGAGAAAAAAAAAAAAAATATTGGACTGGGCTGTGTAAGGCAGAGCCTCGAGACAAGTGACACGAGGGATTCATTCTTCTGAGGCTATTATGATTCCATTTCTGAGGCTGACCCTGCACATGTCATGTGGGAATCTCAGCTGCAAATCACAGCTGAAACTTACCACAAAGCCTGTGGCAGTTTTACACACCCATCCAAACTTTTCTCCCTCAAGCCATTTTATCTCAACTTAGCCCAACTGGTTACTATACATTTCCAATGCATTTGTCTTCACACAATTTTTCCATGCAACAAATAATACATATCTAGCAACAACATAAGTGGGAAATGGTTACCTTTTCCTTTGAGTTACTGGTCATGACCACAGGAAAACATTTTTTTATATAAAAATTGTTAAACAGATCAAGTTTCTTACACATTAAAACTAGAATAAACTGTAGCTTACAAGTTTGTCCTAAAAATGCAACTTTCTTTATCTCTTCTGAAAAACAGAAACAAAATTTTTTTAGAAAGTTAATTCTTCATGAGGCAATGTCCCACTGCTTTTCCACCACATCACCATGCTGTATCACTTTGTTGCTAGAGAATTATCTTATGTTATCTCTCAAGTCACCTTTTGTCTAACGCGACTCATGCGCGGCGGGAGTATTGTTAGATTAGATAGCTAGACTTTCGGGAATGTTTACGCTTCTCATAGTTATTTGGGTTGTTTTCACCTTTTTTTTTTTCCAGAGAACCACACACTGGTCTCATTTTGAAAAGGACACTAATGTTTTCTTTAATGTGTGCTGAAATGGTACAAAATAAATCATAATCCTCATCTTAGCATCACTGTGGGAAATACTGCTTGGATAAAATATTTGTTAGGCTATAATATCCCAGGAGACATTCAGTAACACTGCTCGTCAATAAAGTGCCCTTTACTGACACCTTAAGTATATACTAGTAACTAAGACTAAAAAAAGCTCTGTATAAACGCTGGGAATACTTCAGATGAAAAATGTGAAACAGTAGAAAAAAGTAAAGAGCAAGTGGCATATTGTTCCAGACTGTGTAGGTACCCTGTTGCTGCTTTTCAGCAACATATCTCAGGTTTTATGTTATGTTTGCCGTTTTTGTTGCCAAATTCTTTTCCCACCCACAAGCCATACTTACTTTGTTTTGTCTACCAACCGATGAGTATGTCTAGGACAGAATGATACACTCATGCTAGCTTGCTCAGGAAAACTGTCACTCAATTCAAACTGTGACAGAGGACAACATAAAAACAAAACAAAAAAATGCATCAAAACACACCATTTCTTCTTTAACAGCCACCTCATTCATTACAGAGTGGACAGATCAAAGCATTCAGGAAGAGAGGGCTTCAAAGTCACTTCCCCTGCTGAAAAAAAGAAGTTCTGATTCTGGTCCAGGGAGTTGTACACTTCTTCCACTGCACACAACAGTACAGTGTTTGACAAGGGTGCAGTGGGGTGTGTGTGTGTCACTCCCACCACCTCCTGATCCCCCGTCTTTCAGTGAGAGTGTCTTTTTCCACACAAGAAAAGAAACAGTTGTGCTTCATTTCTCCTCTGTGGAATCCATACGCCAGATGTGATCCCTCACTCAAAGGACCAACCTCTTGTTTTCCACATGTAAATGCTCCAAAACACCTGTTTTTCACACATCACCACATTCCTTCTCCCTGTTTTTACATCAAGTGCAATACATAGGTCTTTTGTCAGAAGCAATGAGCATGAGGTTCACAGCAAAAAAACGCTGACTGAAGACTAATACTATAAAGGCACACGTATGCCTCTGAAAGGCTAAGAAGGACCGTCTTTATTCAGCTACACTAACTGCAGTGTTTGAGGTTAAAAATGTGCTTGCTTGTTCTGCTAACCCTCCTTCTGATACTTATCTAAACAAACTCTTAGCAAGACAGAGGGGCATTTAGAAACTTAGTGCGGTGTATTACCATTTGGGTTAAAAAAAATCATCATCTGACATGTTGACCTGTGTCTTTCAATATGGAAACTACGTGAACAGCCGACAGACATATTCATAACCCAAAACGGCTCATGTTTAATCTCAGATTTGACTGAAGTGCCAATTCACTGGAATACTTGAGCTCAAATAGGTAATGGCACTGATTTAAGTGCTTAAGAAGTTGTGATCTACTATATGCACAGTGACACTTTTGTGTCAGAGTTTGATAAATCACAGGTAGTGACAGACAAGCAAAATGGGGTCTGGTCAGCATCCTCCCGACACCTCCGTCGACCCTGGCTTCAAGGAGTCAGAGGTGGAGCACAGCTGGGGCCTAGAGTGGAAGTAACCTTATCAGCTGTATGGAGGAGGACTTCAAGTCGGTGTCTGAATATCCACATCATTAATCACTGAAATGGAACATTTTGTCCTAACCAAGTGGAAACATTTGAGGGAAAACCTGCTGCTAGACAGATGAGTACCAGAGAGAAACAAAGAACAGAAAAACTCTCATTAACTTAATTAGGACTGACCATGAAGTAGTAAGTTTTAAGACTCAAGTCCAATGTTTTCCCCCTCATCAGTTAGCACACCATTTCTAATGCTGTGGTAACAACATTTATTTGGTTTGGAAGTTTTTTACAGTGTGAAAAACACTGTTATTCTCAAATGAGAAATCAGATTCTTAAACCTTGTTTCCTATGGAGGGATTTTGGGAGTTTTTTCAAGTCAGCATTAAAAAAAAAAAAAAAAACTACTACTACTGCAGTTACAAACAGGCAACTATCGTACCGTGAAGTAGTTTTTCCACAACCCTAGATACAGACTAGATATAAATCTGCAATAACAGGCTAAGTGTAAAAGTGCCCACTCTGCTCATCATAAACCTTATTGTGAATGACATGAAAAGCCATTTTTTGATCACGTTTTTACAGAAAAACGTCAAGATGAATAAACGTACAAGTTGAGTAAAGTAAAAAATCTCAATTTTGTGAAAATAAACCACTTAAGAAATACCAACCTT